ATACGGGCTATATTATTCTAAATTCCTTAAACTCTTAATCTTCAACTTTTGAAGTCTTGACATCTTAAGATCTTAAAATCTTAAATTCCGAAAGTCGCCAAATCTGAAAATCTCACAAAAAAAGAATCTTAAAGCCTTCGAAATCTGATAATGGATGGTAAATGGCTGGGCAATGGCCTGGCTGTTATAACCTTCAAAAGCCTTAAATCTTCGAATCTTAAAACCTTAATTCTTCAACCATTGAAACCTTAAATTCCGAAAGTCTTCAAATCTGAGACCCTTAGAATCTCAAAGTTTTTAGAATTTTGAAATCTTAACATCTACTCATCGGACTTACAGGAAAGGGAAGTGACAGAAACCCTCATGTCTTTGAATCTTCAGATGTTAAAATCTTAAAATATGAAACTCCTAAATTCTCAAAATCTGAAAATCTCAGAATCTTAAAAGCTTCAAAAACTTAAATTCTTTAAATCTCGAACTATTGCAATCTGAAAATCTTAAATTCATAAACAAGTAAAATATAATAAAATTCCTTCAATCCGGGCAATATTCTAAATTCCTTAACCTCTTAATCTTCAAATTTTGAAGTCTTGACATCTTAAGATCTTAAAATCTTAAATTCCGAAAGTCGCCAAATCTGAAAATCTCAAAAAACATACAATCTTAAAGCCTTGGATGGAAAATGGCTGGGCAATGGCCTGGCTGTTATAACCTTCAAAAACCTTAAATCTTTGAATCTTAAAACCTTAATTCTTCAACCATTGAAACCTTAAATTCCGAAAGTCTTCAAATCTGACCCTTAGAATCTCAAAGTTTTTAGAATTTTAAGATCTTAACATCTACTCATCGGACTTACAGGAAAGGGAAGTGACAGAACGGGCAGGGCAAGGTGCCCGGTGGCCGGCTGTGTCGCGTCAGCGTGTAAATCCGGCCACCGGACGTGATCGGGCCGCAGGCCAAAGCCCGTTAGGGCTTACCTTCAGGTATAAGGCCGCGCGCCCCATGCCGCCGACCATGCGCCGACCATGCGCAGAACATGCGCATACGTTTTATGCTGGGCCCTCCCTTATAAGGGGCGAAGGATTTGCGGATTGGTTTAGGCAATTTCCGAGGATTTTTGTAGCATCTCCCCGCAGCGCCCAAAAACGAGTCCAAAAACGAGTATTTTTAGGGGGTGCCTAATACAGGACTACACCCCCAGCATTGCCAGCATCATCCCGGATGATGCGGATGATGCTATGCATGCTGGCGATGCGGGGGATGCTGGGGATGTTGTCCCCTAAGTCGGGCCAATTTTGCCGAAAACGTGCAGCCTGAAAATCTTAAAATCTCAAGTGGATGGAAAATGGCCTGGGTTGAAATCTCAAAATCCTAAAGTCTTAGATTCTTAAAATCTTAAATTAAAATCTAACAATCAATCTTAGAATCTCAAGATCTTAAAATCTTAGAACTTAGAATCTTAAAATCTGAAAATATAAAAACTTCCTAAAGTCTTCGAATCTTGAAACCTTACAAACCTTATGTCTTAGAATCTTGAGATCTTAAACTCTTAACATATGAAATTCCTAAAGTCTTACAATCTTAAAATCTCAGAATCTTAAAAAGCTTTAAAAACTTAAATTCTTTAAGCCTCGAACAATTGAAATGTGAAAATGTTACATTCCTTCAATCCGGGCTAGATTTTAACTTCCTGAAACTCTTAATCTTGAATTTTTGAAATCTTGAAAAACCTTAAGATCTTAAAATTACAACCTTAGAAGATAGAATCTTGCAACCTGAAAATATAAACATCCTCAAGTCTTCGAATCTTGACTTCTTAAAACCCTCATGTCGTTGAATCTTCAGATGTTAAAATGTTAAAATATGAAATTCCTAACTTCTCAAAGTCTTAAAATCTCAGACTCTGAAACTTAGATTCTTTAAATCTCGAACTATTGCAATCTGAAAATCTTAAATTCATAAACAAGCAAAATATAATAAAATTCCTTCAATCCGGGCTATATTCTAAATTCCTTAAACTCTTAATCTTGAAATATTGAAGTCTTGACATCTTAAGATCTTACAATCTTAAATTCCGAAAGTCGCAAAATCTGAAAATCTCACCAAAAAAAAAACTTAAAGCCTTCGAAATCTGATACTGGATGGAAAATGGCTGGGCAATGGCCTGGCTGTTATAACCTTCAAAAACCTTAAATCTTTGAATCTTAAAACCTTCATTCTTAAACCATTGAAACCTTAAATTCCAAAAGTCTTCAAATCTGAGACCCTTAGAATCTCAAAGTCTTTAGAATTTTTAAGTCTTAACATCTACTCATCGGACTTACCGGAAAGGGAAGTCACAGAACGGGCAGGGCAAGGTGCCCGGTGGCCGGCTGTGTCGCGTCAGCGTGTAAATCCGGCCACCGGGCGCCCTGACCCCGTGGTCCGTGACATCGCCGAAGGCCTAGGCCCGCAGGGCCTACCTTCAGGTATAAGGCTGTCCGCCCCATGCCGCCGACCCACCGCCGACCATGTGCCAAACTTTTGCGCTGCGCCAAGCTGGGCCCACCCTTATAAGGGGCGAAGGATTTGCGGATTTGTTCAGGCGATTTTTGGCGGCTTTTTGAGCATCTCCCCGCGGAGTCAAAAAACGAGTGTTTTTTGGGGGGTGCCCATAGTGGACAACATCCCCGGCATCACCTGCATCATCCGCATCCTTGGCGGACATTGATGCGGATGATGCCGGTGATGCGGGGGATGCTGGGGATGTTGTCCCCGAAGTCGGGCCAACTTTGCCGAAAACGTGCAACCTGAAAATCTTAAAATCTTAAAGTGGATGGAAAATGGATGGAAAATGGCCTGGATTGAAATCTCAAAATCCTAAAGTCTTAGATTCTTAAAATCTTAAATTAAAATCTAACAATCAATCTTAGAATCTCGAGATCTTAAAATCTTCGAACTTAGAATCTTAAAATCTGAAAATATAAAAACATCCTAAAGTCTCGGGGGATGCTGGGGATGTTGTCCCCTAAGTCGGGCCAACTTTGCCGAAAACGTGCAACCTGAAAATCTTAAAGTGGATGGAAAATGGATGGAAAATGGCCTGGATTGAAATCTCAAGATCCTAAAGCTTAAAATCTGAAAATTTTAAAACATCCTAAAGTCTCGGGGGATGCTGGGGATGTTGTCCCCTAAGTCGGGCCAACTTTGCCGAAAACGTGCAACCTGAAAATCTTAAAATCTTAAAGTGGATGAAAAATGGATGGAAAATGGCCTGGATTGAAATCTCAAAATCCTAAAGTCTTAGATTCTTAAAATCTTAAATTAAAATCTAACAATCAATCTTAGAATCTCGAGATCTTAAAATCTTCGAACTTAGAATCTTAAAATCTGAAAATATAAAAACATCCTAAAGTCTTCGAATCTTGAAATCTTAAAACCCTTATGTCCTAGAATCTTGAGATCTTAAACTCTTAAAATATGAAATTCCTAAAGTCTTACAATCTTAAAATCGCAGAATCTTAAAAAGCTTTAAAAACTGAAAATTCTTTAAACCTCGAACAATTGAAATCTGAAAATCTTAAATTATTAAAATATTACATTCCTTCAATCCGGGCTATATATTGTAACTTCCTTAAACTCTTAATCTTGAATTTTGGAAATCTTGAAACCTTAAGATCTTAAAATTACAACCTTAGAAGATAGAATCTTGCAACCTGAAAATATAAACATCCTCAAGTCTTCGAATCTTGACTTCTTAAAACCCTCATGTCGTTGAATCTTCAGATGTTAAAATCTTAAAATATGAAATTCCGAAATTCTCAAAATCTTAAAATCTCAGAATCTTAAAAGCTTCAAAAACTTAAATTCTTTAAATCTCGAACTATTGCAATCTGAAAATCTTAAATTCATAAACAAGTAAAATATAATAAAATTCCTTCAATCCGGGCTATATTCTAAATTCCTTAAACTCTTAATCTTGAAATTTTGAAGTCTTGACATCTTAAGATCTTAAAATCTTAAATTCCGAAAGTCGCCAAATCTGAAAATCTCACAAAAAATAAAATCTTAAAGCCTTCGAAATCTGATAATGGATGGAAAATGGCTGGGCAATGGCCTGGCTGTTATAACCTTCAAAAACCTTAAATCTTTGAATCTTAAAACCTTAATTCTTAAACCATTGAAACCTTAAATTCCGAAAGTCTTCAAATCTGAGACCCTTAGAATCTCAAAGTTTTTAGAATTTTGAAATCTTAACATCTACTCATCGGACTTACAGGAAAGGGAAGTGACAGAAACCCTCATGTCTTTGAATCTTCAGATGTTAAAATCTTAAAATATGAAATTCCTAAATTCTCAAACTCTTAAAATCTCAGAATCTTAAAAGCTTCAAAAACTTAAATTCTTTAAATCTCGAACTATTGCAATCTGAAAATATTGAATTCATAAACAAGTAAAATATAATAAAATTCCTTCAATCCGGGCTATATTCTAAATTCCTTAAACTCTTAATCTTGAAATTTTGAAGTCTTGACATCTTAAGATCTTAAAATCTTAAATTCCGAAAGTCACCAAATCTGAAAATCTCACAAAAAATAAAATCTTAAAGCCTTCGAAATCTGATAATGGATGGAAACTGGCTGGGCAATGGCCTGGCTGTTATAACCTTCAAAAACCGTAAATCTTTGAATCTTAAAACCTTAATTCTTAAACCATTGAAACCTTAAATTCCAAAAGTCTTCAAATCTGAGACCCTTAGAATCTCAAGGTTTTTAGACTTTTTAAATCTTAACATCTACTCATCGGACTTACCGGAAAGGGAAGTGACAGAACGGGCAGGGCAAGGTGCCCGGTGGCCGGCTGTGTCGCGTCAGCGTGTAAATAATTTGGTGAATGGCGGTTCGAAGCCTTACGCCAATCCAAACCACAGCTTGAGAGCGATAATTTATTCTACTTAGCAATGGATAGCAAGAACCGCTCTGGGCATTCTGTTCTCTTGTCTGGCTGATTCGCACGATGGCCTGTAGCCGCGAATGTGCGAATGCCCAGCCAGGATTTGGATGGGCTTCTTTGCCCCCATCCTTCTTCGAATCGCCTAAAAGCAGGGTTAGGCCCACCCGCTTAAACCTGCTTAAACACCCGTTGTTTCAACAACCTCCTCTTGGTGTCCCATGTGTCCCTTAAGGCTTGCGCGCGGTGTACGGTTCTCGTTGTTTCAGCCCATATTACCCCGCGCCTGAAAAATCACGTCCACCAGCGTGTCTCGATAGTCCATGTGAGCTAGAACCACCACAGCATCGCACTGCTGATCCAGGGCGCTCAAGAACCAATCCGATTTAACCACAGACTCGACATCAAGGACCTTGACTGCATCACAGTGGTCGTCCATGTTGTACCTTGGTGCGGCTTGTAAAAAGCTGGACTCTTGGAATAAGTTCAACGAACCATAAAAGGAACCGTATGGCTGGGAACTGCCAAGGTACAAGAAGCCAAAGGCAAGCAACTTAGTTCCAAAGTCCCCCTGCAGTACTGCATAGCGATCTCCCACGGGCTGAGAGCTGTTGGACCAAACCACGTTCGCGGTCAGGTATCCTTGCACAGATTCGCACAAGCGCATTCAAGGCTTGCCTTTCCTTCCATTTGCTTCGGCTCTGGAAAACACAAAAACGACTTTTCCAGTGGTGATAGCTTCCCTTCAAAACCAGCAAGGGAAAATAAACCATATATTCCTTTCAGCAATTGGAGGTTCCTGCAAATCGCAGAACCCCAGCAAGACGTCTCCCACACGCTCCCAAAGGAGACGACTCACGAATTGCCGCTTCACGCCTTCAAGGCCGAGGCACCGAGCGCATCTTTCGATCGATCCAAAGGGATTCCCAAGTGAAGGACGTACATCAGCTTCTTATTTTTGCCCGCGCAATTTCTCAGAGCTTGGTTTTGGGAAGTGTTTTTTTGTTTTTGGAAGGTGGAGCTGGTGGTTGGTGGACATAAACTTCCAATGCCCAGCAAAGGCTTCAAGGGTCTCCAGTTGAACACATCACATCTTAGATGCTCAGTGGCCATGGCAACACAGAATGGGCATCCTTTTTTGGTTTGTTGACTTGAAAGGTACACCCTTCCCCCAAGAAAAAAGGAAAAAAGGAAGCAAAGCACTGACCAACTGGGACATAGGCAGATTGATTCGCCCAGCGGCTTCCTCGCCAGGAGGCGATGTACCCAGACTCCTGCAGGCCCACGATGGGACATTCAGGGCCCGGCAGGAGTCCATGCCCGTTTCGCTGATACAGCTCGTGGTTCCCCAGATTTAGGGCGTCATACCCCGCCTGTCCTAAGGGACAAATAGAGAGTCTGAAATCCGCAAGGTTCTAAAGAAAAAGAAGAATCCTTCTTTGGCTTCCTTTGGGAAAATACAGACCAAACGGGCCATTCAGCACCCAGCGTCGCATCACTGGCGCTAGAAAAGCCACATGATCCTCTGCGGAGGCAGAAAGCCCGGTGCCGTCGTTGATGTCGCCGTTGTCAAAGAAGAAGACATCGCGGTGCTCGGCCCGGGCAGCATCCCGCAACAGCTCCAGGGCCGAGACAACGTGCCCAAGGGTAGCATCAAGGTGAGGTTGATGCCTGCGGCCCTCAATCCAGGAATGCAAGTCCGTCGTAATGAGCATGTTTACTTCGCCCAAACGAAGGCTCGGAGGCGGTTCCGGGCAGACTGCTCTGAAGTCATCGCAGCAGTCATTGAAGCTCCAGCAAGAGGATTCACACCAACAGGTGCTGTCATGGCCACCGCAGCCAATGCTTTTACAGCTGCTCTTGGCCAGTGCTATTGTCAGACTTTGAAGAAACACCACCCATCGTGCCATGCCGGAACAGCATGACCAAGCTTGAGCAACTCAGCAACTATAGTACGCAGCGATCTGAATACCCGACAATATCGCCACCAGAAACCGATAGGGGACACAACCTGCGCCATTGGGGAGTAAAACGATATGGTGATATTGTGACTTGTTCATCTGCGTGACAAGCTAGACCTGATACCAGAAGGGTCAACCCAAAGCCCAGGTAAAGAATCAGAAGGGCGGAAATCTGCACCTGAACCTTCATCTGCCGAATTGATGCCTCGTCTGAGCTTCTGCCCTGAACAGCGCAGGCACTTGGAAACCTTCGAATCTGGCCGGCTCCACGTTTGGCCGACCAAAGGGGTAAGAGCCACAAAGCACGCAAAAGCTCGTGTCACAGTGTGTAAGTCAACACTCTGCTTTCAATGGGTAGGAAAGCAGTTGCAACTCTCTAGAGCAAAAGAGTGGGATCTTCCGAGCCGAATGCTGAACATGATATCAGGGTGGGTCATGTCACCACAAGGAATATAAAACTTAAAACTGGCCGCTTCCAAAAGGTGATGCTTAAGACTCCACGCTGCGAGTGGACTAATATGAATACTCGCCAATCTCGCAGTACAGAAACCGATACGGGACTGTTAGCCCGTGATATTGGCAGGCTGGGTTGAATAAAACAGGGGGATCCCCAAGTCTAATCTGCAATCTGTAGCCAGCACTGCAACAAGGGAAGCCACGACCACCCGGCAATAGGATCTTGCGGATTGCTTAAATGTAGGGAGCAGAGAAGTACAGTTGGACTAAAATATACATTTTCCAAAATCATCTGATTCACAAGATCCCACAAACCACCAGGATGTTGTTGATTTCCGAAACTCTCAAGAGGACCCTCCAAATCACCAGAACGTTGTTGATTTCTCCGAAATGCCCAAGAGGATCCTCCGAAAAAGCAGGATGTTGCGGATTTCTCCGAAATTCTCGAAAGGCTTCTCAACATCGCAAGGCTTGTCTCTGCAGGGGGTAACCCTAAATGGGTGGGTTCCGTTTAAAACACGAACAAAAGGGTTCCATCAATCAGGACTAAATGCCATGCGACCGGATTTTCCGCCAAGAGGCTTGTGCCTTTAGCAGCAAGTCCCTGGAGCTCTCTTCCGTCTCCCGCGCGGCCGACTCTGCTTGCGCAGGTGACTCCTAGCCCAAGCTGAAAATCAGGGTGTTTCTCAAGATAGGGGTGCCCCTTGGTTTCAGAAACCAGGACTTGGTTGCCTTTTGAGAAACACCAAGCTAAGTGGGAACACCCTTCTTGTCGGGCTCATTCCCATGGAGAGGGTTTTTCTTCGTCCCGCTCGTATTTGTATTCCAAACGAGCTTTGGGTCCGGATTGAAAGAGGGCGTGTGAAGATGGAAAACGCTGTCCTGCGTTGTATGTATGGACCTGAAAGCGTGACTCATGCTCCGTAGCAGTATGGTCAAGTTCTACTTGGCAACAAGTTGACCTAGCATCCTCATAATGGGTGACCGGGTGACCTGATGGGTGTGTCTGTTTTTTGTGGCTGAGAGTACCCCGTCTTTTGTGGCTTCAAAATGAAACCCTAAGGACAACCACCATTTATTTTGGGGGCCCTCTGGAAACAAAGACACACCAACTGGCTAGTGCCTATCAGGGCTCTTTGGCCATGAACTTCCCAATGCTGCGAGCAAATCAGTAAGATGCTATCTTCAAAATGGACATGTGTCAAAATAGAGAGATCGCCAAAATGGTGGCTTTCCGTTTTGGGTTCCCTTTAAGCCAAATAAACAAAGTGTACCCTGACTGAAATGGCTGTGGGTCAAAAATAGGTACCCGTTTTGGAAACCCTGGTAAATGGAACCAAAGACTAAAACCTGCGGTTTTCTGGTGGTTTAAGTTTGACCCATACCCAAATGACAACCCCCAAATTTTCGGCTTGCAAGCTCCTTCACTGGCCTTTGCTGCTGCCGCCGCCGCAGCAGGAGCCTTTCTCGCTCTTCATCCTCCCGCATCTCCAAGAGCCGCGCCTGGTTGCTCAAAGCCCAGTGCAACTCAGTTCCGAGTGGGCAACGAACTGCTTGTTTGCCGCTAAAGTGGTCTCTTTGATTGAAAGGCTAAAGGTCAGGTACTCAAGAAGCAACCCAACTTCAGCCGGCACCTGCCGCAGCCTTCACGTGTCTTTCATTCAACCCGCCAGTTATGCATGGCAAAATCAGACGGATTAGTATGAACACCTGGTACGTGTACTCAAGGTGTCTACCCAACACGAGAAGAATCACGTCTATCAGAACCCGTCCGAATGCGAGGGTCCCATACCCGCCGAGCCTGCATGACTTGGCACTGCTGCTTCGCAGCTGCTGTGTCTGTGTTGGTGTTGCTCAACCAGCGCTTCCTTGGGTGAGCTCACATGCATCCAATCAACCCAATGCCATCTATCCTTCAGAGGCGTTCCACTATGTGAATCAGAATCATGTTGCCTTATGGAGAATCATTGAATCAGTGCCATAGTACATAGTCTCATGTCATTTAGAAATAGAGCCGTATCCAAAATGGCCTTGGGGCTTCCTTTTTTGTCAATTGATTGACGCACCAAGAAGGTTCTCACTATCTGCATATTCACGTGCACCCCAAAAGCCATCCATAGAGGTGGCCTTTTTCATTGAAATCGGTTTGGGGTTCTTTCATTCAACTGGTGTTGCGGTTCCATGGCAATTTGCTCGGACCCCACCAAAACGCCCACAGTGCACGTCCAAGGCTCGGCGAGCTCACATCGGCGGGCAATTCGGAAGCTTCCAGGTCTTCCTCCTCGAAGTTTCGGAGTTGCATGTCGCTTTTGCTGAAACCAGAGCCTGGATCCATTTGTCAGGCGGGCTGGGGGAGGGAGGGGAGGGCCCTTCCCTCCAGCCCCGATGATTTTGCCCAGGTAGAGGGAACCACCATCTACCTAGGCAACCAAGGGAACCAGTAGAACATTTGCCTGTGGCGCAAAAAATGGAATCCCCAAAATGGCACCTTGGTACATAGAAACCAAGACTGAAACCTGCGTAACCCCAGCTGCGTAATATTGAGCCACACCCAATACCCAACCACAGGAACCACCCTTTAGAAAGGAAAATGGTCGGGCACCCAAGGCCAATTTTCACTTGAGGTTCCATCTACCGGAGACAAACACGCTGGATGTTTGGCGAATGTAGCGTCCTCCTCAATGGTTGCCAGCTGCTCCGACATTCTGCTGGCAGCTGCCTGAGGGCTTCGCTTCGAAGGGTGGGCTGAACAGTGTCTCCTTGCAAACTGGACTGCAGTTCCTGCCACTCCAGACCCTGAACAAAGGGGTAAAGGAAGGTGGAGATGTTGGAGGGATAAAGAAGGAAAGGAAAAGGAAGGGAGAATTAGAATGAAGAGTCCAGATGACATGATATCCCTTCCTATGTCATCTCTTCATTCTAGTTCTCATGTCTCTCTTCTTCATTTCCCATCGACTAGACAGGGAAAGGGAAGAGTGGAGAGACAGGATCCCTTCATAACCCACTTCCCTCTACCATCCTCCGCTCATCTCTGCATTTTGGAACAGAGGAGGAATGGAGAAGTGGGATTGAAGGGATCTCTCGCATCCCAGCAAAAAACACATGATACGTTGGGATCGTACTCCACGGTGGAAATACACAAAACCATTGTGGAGTATGAACGCTTTGCTAGACCTCACCGGCGGAACACTTTGCTTTTGACCCCCTGCTATGGGAGAAACAACGCTCTTTTTGTTGGTTGTTTCTTATTCGAAAGCCCTTCAACCAAGATACAGAACAGCGCTCTTCTTGTTCACTGGTTTTCACGGGAAAAACCCACCAACAAAAAATGCATGAAAAGAACAGAACTCACATTCTGTTTGGTTGGCAATTGCCAGGGGGTTCCCTTTAAAAAGCAATGGCCCATTGCCTTTTTCAAGGGCCACCCCCTTCACCAAGAAGAACCTAAAAGGGGCCAGCCAGCCCTCGGTCTGCTCCCCCCTCCGCCTGAAGCTCCTCGAGGCCCACCTGCTGGCGCCAGGCTTCGATCTCCTCCATGGGGTCCAAGTCTTTTTCCATGGCCTCGATCGCTTGGATCTGACTCCGAAAAATCGATCGCTGGTCTCCGGAACTCAGGTGTCCTTTTGGTGTCCCTTGTTGTTCAACAAAACAGAAGACCCAATTAAAAAACACATGGCGTTCTTTTTGGCTTCCCTTAACATGGAAGCTCACCCAATTGGCCTCTGTAAATTGAACCAATCCTTTCAAAGGGCTCCTAAAAGCTTCCATGGAATCGTCTGGGGGAGGGTATCAACCAAAAAGGGTCCATTTCGAGCCACAACTCTGGAGGACCTGAGGTCACCTTCAACGCCTGGATGGCACGAGGAAAACAAAGGCTTTTGAGGGTCACCTAATTTTGAGACATACTCATTTCTGCTAGGCTTCCAACTTAGAAATTCGAGGTTCAATGTTGGTGCTTTGCGGGATTCAGTTGTTCATCGTTCCCGTCCATTCCCAACCTGAACATGGACATGGAATCACTCACGGAAAGAACACTACGATGATACAGAACTTGTCCAAAGAAAACAGGGCGCTTTCGGAGAGGAATGAACGAGGGGCAGAAAGGCAGTTCATCATTTGTTGCGGACAATTCACGTCACAATACTCATTAAATCTATCCAGAGGACCGACACACAGGAATGGTTGAAGGGTTATATAAAGGGCTACAGCAGATGTAGGAAACAGCATCTTGAGTAAAACAAACGCACCCGGGCATTCAAACACAGCAACTGCGCTTTTGCGGTGCAAAAAAAGAAAAATCGCCTCGCTGAGGTTGTTCTGCTGCTCTTTCAGTCCTGCGAGGCCATGAGGGCACGCGCCGGTTGAATGAGACCCAACCGGCCGACTGGTGCGAAAATGTTTGTCAGCAGAAGGGACATGGCCAAACTCAGGAATGTTTGTTCACGCTCCTGGAAACTCGGTACCAAATCTGCATCGCAAAATACAACTCTCCCCGTGGGTGGATTCTCTCACAACGGCTTGCGCCAAGCTCAGGGACAGAAACAATCCTGCACCAGGCAAATACCCATCCAATCGGAAAAAAATAAATGAGATATTTATTCCAGAGACAGCCCACGTTGCGTTTGGATGGTCCAGCCTGAGTCTGCGCACTCGAGGGGAGGGTCCAGATATGGTTCAGATTGTTGGGCATCCCTGAAAACAAAAGGAAGCCCGGCTTGCGAATTTGTAGCGGCCCCTTGTTTCTGAAAACATAAATCTTCTCGCAGCTTGCGTTACTCTCCTGATCAGTCAGTTGAGAAGCTGCTAAAATGACCTTGACCAAATTGAAAACACCCAAATCGGATCAAGTAGTGTATTTGCACGACCCAGTGGATCCATTTGCCAGTTTAGGTAATTGCTTATCAAGGAAACCAACCACCCTTCAAAAGCCCAAAGCAACATAATAGCTGGTTACCTGCTAGTAAAGCTCCCAAGTCGACAGCCTGGGTCCTCCAGTAGAGCGGTTACAATAATAAGGGTACCCTTTTTCTGTAGTCTATTTTAGTAAGGGAACCCTCCCCCAAGAAAGGGTGAAAGGGCACTACTGAGGGACCTATCTTATGGAACCCCAAAGTATGCTTGGATTCGTCTTGGCTTACCTTTCCGCGACGGATCCTTGGCAGTGCTCCGTGGCGATTTCCTGAAACTCCGCCGCGTTCGCCGCCAGCTGCTGCAGCTTGCGCCGCTGCGCCTACGGACCAATGGCCGAAATGTCAAGCTTGCCGGGCTCCAAATCAAACTCCCCCCCCCCCCCTCGGGTAAAAACAAAAAAACACCAACTAACATGGAACCTGACAGGGGGCCCCTTTCAAAGCAAAATGGTCTTCCAGGACCCCCCGAACGTGAGGTTGTTCATTGGTGGGAGGGTAATGTCAGCCTGAAGGTTTTTCATAGAAGTCACCCCAAAGGCACACTTAATGAACATTGGCCCCAATGGTTACAACCAGCAAAAGGAGAATATGGGGATCCCTGGAAATGCTCCACAAATCTTATGAAGTACGCAGTGCATTACGTCCTCATAAGTTTCCTCTGCTGTTTATTCTCTGCAGTGTATGCAAGCTAACCAAACGGCACCACACAAGCACGCGATAACTCTTTTATCCGAGCAATGTGTTGGTGCCAGGGACTCATCTTCCCCTGTCAGATGTCAACGGCTGGGTGGGCCCCATGGGCCACCCACCTCAAACTCTCAAAAACTGAAGAACGGGTGTGCAGACTGATAGCGCCCGCCCCTGAGCCGGGGCCCGGGGCACCCAGGCCACAGGGGGGTCTGCCACCAGGGGAAGTGAGTCACCCACCGGCTCCGGTCACGGGAGCATGGGTGGGCCCACGCTAAGATCAAATGCATCTCCATTCAGGAGACGCGGGAGAAAAACGAACTCCTCGCAGAGTTCCTGTTTGGGGACCCTGTGCAAAGGGTCGAACCCAGAGAAATCTGGGTGCGTCAGCTCATCAGCCCACTGGTTGAATTCCCGGGGCACGTGGTTGGCCGCCAGCGAGCAGCCATGGGTGTGGAGCAGGAAGACCAGCTCCATCAGGATCGCCGCGGTGTAGGGCTTCTTGGATCCAAGGTTGAGCATCGCCATGACGTTGCCCTGATTGTCACTGCCCACCGGGAGTCGGACCCGGGAGGACAGAGGGCCTTGGTGCGTGAGGATCATGTTACAGAGGAAGAGCGTGCCCAGCATTTCCAAAGCCGCAATCCTCCGCTTGGGATCCCCATTCTTGAATGCCCAAGGGTACTCCTCCACGTGGATCTGCTCGTGGAACCAGTACACCTCCTTCTTTTCCGGCTCCATTTTGTTGGAGCACCATCCTCCCACAAATGCCAGTCCTTCGTCCGAGGCGCTAGCATCGCTGCAACCCCACCAAGAGGACTTCGGCAAGTAAGGGGAGTACTGGACGAAGGGCGTGTTGAAGAGGAACCGCAGCATGAACGCCAGCATCCTGACCACCTTGGGGGGTTTCCCCACCGTGGTGGTGGCCATCTTCCAGGCCCAAAGTGGCTGAAGCACCAGCGGACATGCAGCAGTTGCCCATTGGATGCGGCCCAGGGCCTTTTCGATGTCCTTTGAGTGCATCGCCTGCCTGAGGACCTTCACTCTCCGGTGGGCCTTGGTGACGTCCGCCTTGAGCAGCACCCACCTGGTGCCCGGCTCCGGCCATAGCCAGCCCCCAGGTGGAGGTTTGACGACCTCCTTCTCGGGGCCAGGGGCACCCAGAGAGGGAGGTCCCTCCGCAGCTGCCGCATGTAGCCAATGAAGAGCTTGTACCCCATCCAGCACCGTCGGAGCCGTCGTCCTTTCCACCGTCTGGTTCCTGATGGTGTCATTGGCCCCGCCCACCGAGCCATCGTAGATGGTGCGGATCTTGTCCCCTTCGTCGATGCCCGCTAGTCAATCTCGCAGCCACAGCGCGATGATCTTGGTGAAGGGCCTCTACCATGCCCATGGGGACCTCCTCCAGGAATGTGCCATGAAGTGATCCGCCAAAGGGTAGTTACCCCGGCCCGGGAATTCCGGCTCCTCCCCTTTTAGCTCATTCTTGAGTGGCCAGATGCCCGGCGAGGCCAGGGGTGGGTCCGTGACCCGCAGTGGGACCCCTTGTTCCAGATCCCGAGGAAACTGGTGGTCGGGGTCCTGAATGTTCAGCGCCACGCTGTGCAAGATGTCCAGGAAGAAGGGTTGGCCTTCAGCTGGTCGGCCTGCCCCCGGCGCCAGGATCTCCCTGATATCCTCAAGCAGGTCCTCCGGGAAGGGATGTGACCCGTCCCCCAACGAGAGCGACTCCTGGAGCTTGTCCCCCCATGGCGAGGTGAGGACACAGATCTTGGCCCCCATCGCTGCTGCTTTGGACAGTGGCCGAGTCCACGGGGCCAGCCGTCCCAGTGAGGGCTTCCCAACCCCCGTCCCTTAGGGGGCGCTGTTTGAAGGCCATCTGGAGGTACATAACCTTGTCGGAGAGATTTGGGTCGTGCGTGATCGGCAGGGTGGTGGGCCGATCCGAGATCTCCATGCAAAGGCGTGCCCATGGCTCAGGGGAAAGAGTTCCACCCCGAAGTTCGACCATCCCGCCATCCGGCTGTGTTGGTGTCCGGACCTCCGGATTGTCTGCGGCCGAGACCGGAAGTGAGCCCAAGGTTAGTCCCGCCAACGCTTGGCCGGCCTGCAGCCTCCGGGACTGGCGCTTGTTGTCCCCCGGCGTGCTGGGAGAAGGTTCCCTCTGTCGCCTCGGGGGGGTCGTTGGGTTCGCCTGGGGCACCATGCCCCCCGGCCTCAGCGCCTCCAGGACGGGTCCTGCTCTGCAAAGGATGGCCGCTGCGAGACCTGCATCATCTGCTCTGGATACCGGCTGAGGTCACTGGAGTTGAGCTTCCCCCCCTGGCCGTGGTTGCATCGCAGATCATGCCAATGGTGAAGGGGAAGGTCCGTTGACAATGTCGTGGACTTCACTACCACCTGGCCCAGGCGGCACTCGTCAAACTTGATGAGGGAGTGGTGGAGTGCGTTCGCCCATTGAATGTAGGCCCGTGTGACCCAGATCGATGAGCACCTCGCTGCGCTCGGGCTCTTGCTGCACTTGATTGGGTTCATTGGGTGCTCCAAGAAGGAGGAGCCCACCTGCGGGACCGTTGGTTGGCCTAGCCCTTGGTAGGCCAGCGAGGTCAGGTACATCTGTCGGAGCATGAGCACGCTGTCGTTGTCCGTGTCCTCCATTACCCGGGGCTCCAGGTCCTCTAAACCCCACAGGGTCTGCTCCGCTCTGCCCCTCACCGGCGGCGGGCCACCCGGTTTGGGGAACCATCTGAGAATGCTCCACGTCCTGCAGTTGGGGCCCCCCACAAAGGCGACCTTGCCCGCCATTGCCATGGAGCACATCGTAGAGTAAGGCTCATCTCCCAGCATGTCCTGTCCAAGATCTCCACCCTTTCGCCTGGTGTCCACTGCCCAAATGTACTCCGAGAAGGCCGGGTTGTAGGCATGGAGGTACGCATCCAGGGCCCCCGCATCATCCTTCCCAGCGTACAGCAGGATGAGGGACGGCTTTGACGACTCCGGCACCGGACGTGGCGTCCACCTTAGTCTGAGCCTCAGTCTTTCCGGGGTGTCCTGCATCCATGGGAAGGTGGGGCTTGCCCCCCCTAGGGATTCCGTGTGTCCTTTGTCTGACCCTCCGGTCATCTGTCCCTGGGCTTGCTGCTTGCCCTGGCGGCCCTTGGAACGCCCCTTGCCGGGCGGATCCTCACCTCTGGGTCTCTCTGGGGGTTCTTCCCACTGCCTCGGTGGGTGCGGGGGAAAGGGGTGCTTCCGCCCTTCTGGAGTGCCCTGGCTGGGTCCGCTCCTCTTCTTCGGTGGAGGGGCTTCCGGGGCCGGTGGCACCCTGGAGAAATCCCCTCCCACCTGCGGCCGTCCTGGCCTCCCCCGCTCTGTCTGCCTTCCGCTGTGGCTCTGGTGGGGTTGGCTGTGTGCACTCTCGCACTGGTGGCCTGTGATCCCAACTGAGACGCCAGCCGGAGCGATTGCACCTAACCTTCAGGATGACGCTCCTGATGTGCACGGCAGCACTGCCACAGTTTGGCAACCTGAGGGTCACCAAGGAGGAGCTGGATGATTGGTATGCCTGGTTCTATGGGGAAGACATAGCCGGCAGGAAGCCTCCCCCGAGCGACACCACCTTGCTGTTCGCAGAGCGCAATGCATGGCGCAAGATTCACGAGATGGTGCACCAGGGCACCACCCTCTCCGAACATCAGGGGCGACTTCCTCTTCTGGCAACGCGAGGTCTATGAGCACCTCAACAGGGCGCCGGAGAAGGGGAAGAGCAAGAGCAAGGCACCCAAGGTGTGGCAGACTCAGTGGGAGAAGCCCAAGAAGGGGGGAAAAGGCTCCTGGCCCTCGGGGCCGACCCGGTCCAAGCCGAAGGGCAAGGGCGGCAAGGGGAAGTCCCCCAACACCCCCTCGACCCCATGGCCGGACCACTGGGCTTTCAAGAATCCCAAAGGGGTGGCGTACTGCAGAGATCATCACCTTCACAACAAGTGTTCGGGATCATGCGGCCGATCCCACAACTGCCCGGTCAGGAAGGATGGGTGGGTGTGTGATGCCCCCCCATCGAAGCATGTGCCACAGGCATGCCCACACCTTCCCAAGTGACAGGAGAGTGGCTTCCTGGTCTCCTCACCTCTTCTTCATCCTCCCTGTCCCAGCCGTCCACCGTGATCTTCTTGTGGGTGGATGAGGGGCGTTCCCCTTCTTCCGGGAGCGCGCTCACGATGTGTTTTGCCGGGATGTAGCCCAGCTCGCCCTTGGCAATCATGCGCCATTGCTTCTTGAGGTAGCCATCACTACCTTGGAACTCCAACCTCGGCTTCGGGGTCCCATGCGTGGCCACGTAAGCATCTTCCAGCTGGCGCCTGTCACACAGGACCTCCAAGGGAGCCTTTGTCGGGCCCGCCTGGCCCGCCGGGTGGTCACCTTGGTTGCCCCCCCGGACCAAGTTGGCTGCCACCCGAACTGCCTGAAGGAGGCGCATCGCCGTGAAGGCCGAGGTCTGGGCGTTGAACCCATTCTCTCCATCCTGGAATCCCAGGTCCCGGGGACCATTGTCCCTAGCCGCCGCCGGGGTGTTCCAGCGATCCGCCTGGCTTCTGCAACTTTGCCACGTCCTCCTTGAACTCCGCTGGGACCTCCT